GGCAACAAAAGTACCAAGAGTTCAGCAATGTCTTGGCTAGCAAATGCACATTCGTGCAGGAAAACTTGCTCCACCGTCATCCCCACACAGGCATCGGTTGCATTAGAACTATTTTTCGACGAATGTCGACGTAAACTTCAAATTACAGCTAGTTTCGTGTGTGTAAGTATTCAGTTCTCCGATGTCTCTGATAAAATTGAACGCGAATGTTTACACAGGAGTCCGGCCAGATGGAATAATTTGGTATCCCTCTGAATAAACTGCAAGTTAGTGCAATAGTTATAGAATGGCTTATGGATTTTAATCCTATGTATCCACACTGCAAAAATCTTTAAGCAATTCAGGCCCAGTCACATGACCGAAATCCAGTGAAGCCCAAGCCATGCAAGTGGACACATTCGCACACTTGTCATGAAAGGGAACTTACTTTTCCAACTTACTGCGTCATCTATTACTTCGGACGCTTAAAATGCACCGAAAAATCCATTATAATTCAGTCACCTTTTTCCACTCTTGTCATTAAAAATCCAGTCCTTTAATGATTTTGTGTCCTGTTTGTCTACGCGATTGCCTGTTCTGATAAAGACAAAGTTTCCTGTTTACATGATTCTTCACAGGTTGTCTCGAAACTGGGTTGTGATTAGCAATTTTGGTTACTCGACATTTCCGAAAAATGACCACAGGTCAAGAGACCCCGGGAGTACTATGAAAACGGATTAAAATTGACCCTTTATTTTTACTGATCAAGTAATCTGCCATATGAGGACACATATTCCCTTTCGAGGCTGCTAAAAATTTTTCCCTAACAACCTGAGTGACCCAGAAAGGACGAAATTCCTGAGTAGTCAAGTGTCTATCTTGCGGTGTACCGGGTTTTGCAGTCGTACATTGGGCAAGGGGCAGCGGAAGTCACGGCAGGCAGTACCTGGTTGTTGATGGTAGCACCAACATAGACAACGGAGAGGCAATTATTGTCAGTACGAGCTGGAACGATAAGTGCACCAAGAAAATCGACAGGCGTCCGCATCCCACAGCCTGTCGCTGGTGACGATCAGCACGTCGTGTCAGAGAAAAAGAGAGCAGATGCTGCCTTGGGACCGACTGCAGGTGGATTACTTTTAACGGGCAGCAAGCCGATGGGGTTGTGAGCACCGACAAATACTGCGAAACGCAAAGGACACAATATTCTTAGACAACAGGGACTTGTTATCCAATGCAGGCGAAAAGGCTGACTGCATCTAGTACGTGGGAGGCAGTATATTCGTTAGATTTTCAAACACATTTATTGACTTCGCAGTTCGAACTTGCAATGATTGCTAAACACTCGCAAACCGGCACAAACGAATGCACCAAAATTTTGAAAAATACTAAACGACTGTAAGCATATTGAAATCATAGAAGAAATATCAAAGCTACCATCACGTTGCCTAGAAATACTAACTTTTGTAGAAAATCGGAAAATTCCCGAAACGTCATAAGGCTTTGTAACTAAGTTAACTTAAGTTTGAGAGAACTAAGTGTATTTTTTTCTTTTCTGTATTGTTTACAAATCATTTAACAAGGTAAACAGGTTTCCGTTTGATTCAGTCGATAGGAATGTCCTAAAAATAAATTTTTTACTAGGCCATATGTTGATAGGCCGGTTAACCGTAAATGTAGATTCTGTTTTATGTGTCTTTCAGAACCTTCAGAATAAGATAATTCCTGAAAGCATTCACCAGAGACGTTAGTTCATGGACATTCTTTTTAATGCAAACGAACGTTTGGGTCTTATTTGTATACTCACCCAAGCGTGAAAGCTCACTGCATTGAGAAATGAACGTTCATGGAAAAGTCGACAACAAATATGCTTCAGATTAATTACAATTTCTCGTATAAGCCATCTCTTTAAAAAGCGCTTCAGTTAGCTGCTTCACTAGTAAATCTGTGCGCAATTTACTTTTTCTAAAGGTTAAGTTAGGCCAAAATGGGGACGTTTGATCGAATTATCACTTCTCTTAAAACTAGCGACATTTTTTCTGCTACAAATGGAATAACTCACTGTCCTCTTTATGTTGGAGCCTTTTTGCTATATGTGTTGACTTTTACGTTGCGTTCTAAGATTTTAAACGCATAACAGAGTAGCCGTATAAATACTAAGATATGACGAAAACTGCTAATCTTTTTTTCGCTCCGTTTCTAAATTACACATCAGCGGAAACTGGATCGGGCAAGACTATTTCATAGTATGCACAAAGTTAGCATAGACATCTTTTGAGGACCCTCCCGCGCTAAGTTCTTGGGCATTAGTTAGGAGTGAGAAAATATCAGGACAAGCAAAAATGATTGCCAGTAGGTGTTATCAATGCTTTTTAGGACCCTAAATCTTGTTTCATCTGGTTTACGGGGTGATAAAATCGAGTTTCAAATGTATCAAGTTCCGCTTGGCCAGACTCAAGTTTAGATTAAGTTTTTCTTATAGAGAGAACGCGCACATGCGCAAACTTAGTTTATGATATTGGCATAGGAATACGCCGGAACACGAATTAGCTGAGATTGGCGCTAAAATCTGCATACATTTGGCCTGATAAAATTTTTTATAAGCATATTTGTTTCATCGAGAAAAGACATTTTTCGGAATAATCTAGGCGACTAAACGAACTGTACAACATTGCATTTACCCATAGCCAGTCGTTCCAGTTTCCGTCACTATGTTTCGTGGGTTGGGTAACACACTTGAACCCACTTTGGTTATCTAGAAGGTACGGCTCGATGTGAAAATGGGGAAATCACCCCGGGTGGACCCACATACTCGAAAGCAAAGCTTTCACTCACGAAATCCGTTGTATATGTTTTCTACCAACGAGTAGAGAAGATCAATGTCAAAGTAGATGTTTTGGCAGATTTTAAATAATTCATGCTGAGCTAACTATGAAAACTCGGCGACTCTGTGGGATTTGAAGCCAGGACAGCAAGGGGAGTTTTAGTACAGCCAAAGCTCTAGCCACCTGAGCAACGAGGCTCCACAGGGAGACGTGAGTCCAATCTCACTTGGGCCAAGTTACTCGCTCAACCTACTGCAACGCCTGGAATCCACTAAATCTGCTACAGTAGGCTGACTGTCCAAGCAGGACTTTCCACGCAATCCACCTAGGACCCGCCAGATGCCTACCAGGCTCCGTAATCAATGTGAAAGTGTCCAACTATCTCTGGAATCATAGCGGTGAGGTTTTTCAAAATTCAGCCATAGTGGATGTTTATGTTGTCCTCGGGTGTAGTAACGTTTAACATTGAAATAACCTTTGAAGGTCGCCTCTTCTGATACATGGTGCATGGTGGAGAAAGAGGGCTGCAGTCAGCAATTTTTTCTGAATGTTCTGGTGTTGTGGCGGTGATTTTTGTGGTCTGAGAACCAAGGAGTTCATGACACTGATGAACATCCTTTAAGTAGTCGCCTTACTTTGTGGTCACAGGATTCTTTGTCGAGGTTTATTCCCTAGTGTTCTGAGAGGCGTTAGGACGAACTGAAAGAACTATTTTCAGACTTCTTTTACTTTTAACAGCTATCCGAGCTAATGGTTATCGTCGCAGCTTTATGGATCGGTAAGCACATTGAGAAAATATAGATTTAATCGTATAACCTTTGCTTTTTAACGAGTTTTTTTAGCACCTTAGCAATATTTCTGAGGCAGTTAGTCTCCCCCAAAACGTCCCCTATACTGGGCACCGAAAAACAATCAGGAGCAACCATCCAGGCCGGAAGTCAAACAGTCGAGTAGTAAAGCGCGTTTATTCTTTTACTAGATCCAGTGCCGTTGAGAGTAAAGGAACTACGACAAGAAATGGGACGATTACACTAGAAGTCGCTAGCCGAGTTGAGGGAGGTGAGGAAAATTTCGGAGTTGCTCGGCATTCGGCGGATCCATGTCACAACTTTGAGCCCGACAGGACCAATATCTTCTCAAGAAGCGAATACTATGTACGTTATTAAAGTTTAATCAGAGTAATCACGATGGAGGTTTGGCTTTCGCGAATGACGACTTCCACCGTGTGGCTCGCGAATTGGGCGCAGGACGGTCACTTACGTGCGAATTAGTTTATAGTGATTGACGCTGGCGCGGCATCTACCGCGTCCTCTCCTCCTCCGCCTACATGCCTCCGGTGACAAGCCAGAATAAAGAGGACTCGAGGCGGCGTGGACGCAGTGACTGACGAAGACAAACGACCTTTCTGCAACTTCCGGGAATGGCCTCGCCACCTCAACATCCAGAAGGCTTCCCTGAGGGCGACTACAATATCATCTTGGTGTGAATGTCTTGAAGGTCATATTCTGTAGAAGCCATTCTAGTCCGACTCTCAGCCCTAAGAGGACCGACTTACTCAACTAGTCGGAAATCTTCTAAGCCACGATTCGTAACGCGTCGTGATAGACACAAGCCCGTCGGATTTTTATAGTGGTGAATGTGTTCACCAGCCGTGGGGATGAATTTCCCAGTACCGGTTCCACTCATTTTTTACTATCCCGGCCACCAGTCGGTTGCCAGAGCCTTTAACGAGCTAGTGTTTGGATTGAAAGCAGTGGCTAATGCGGCGTAAAGACCTACGTATAGGTGTGTCACCACGCCTCCCTGAACGGCGGGAGTTATGGGTTCGCGCGGGCCCTTCGCAACCCAATTAGCGCGTACCGCGAGTCGAGCTGACTTCCAGTCTGGCCTAGCGCATATGAAACGCGGTCCGTTCTATGAGCCAAGTGGGATAATTACCGGCATAGGGAAACGCAATGAAAATTACCCATGGCCGCAGTAAAGAGGAGGATAATTATGGTCTAAGTAAGCCAGTGTTTATGTTTAGCGGTTGGAACGCGACCTGCTAGGATATGAGTTCGAAGCCGTTGGGTTTAATTTGATCCAGAATAGTTTATTTGGTTTGTACGGTCAACCAGTCATCTTCTTGGCCGCTTTGGGCTTGGCTCCCGATGCTAAAATGGTGAGAGATTGCTGAACTTCGCTGATCCAAACCGAATGCTTGTCACCAACACATGTTTCCAGCATCGCAAGAAACATCTGCTGACCTGGTTTTCAAACGACGGTCATACGGCCAGTCAGATTGACTACATACTAGTCAGCTCAAGGTTCCGCAGCTGGGTTCATGATAGCAGATCGATGCGTGGTGCCGAGACTGGTAACGCCCATGGGTCGGATCATGTCCTCGTCCGTACACGCCTGAAAGTTCACCTCTCATCCGCACCAAAAATGCCACGTCCTAGACGCCTCAATGTCGCAAAAATCCGGCAAGCCAGCACTGCCGAGGCCCTAAGCAGAGAAATCCGGACCTGTTTTACGACCCGAGCCGACGGAGAAGTCAGTAGCCAGTGGACGTCACTGAAGACTTCAGTCTATGGGGCAGCTGAGAAAATCCTTGGATGTACCCAGCGACGCCGCAGTGACTGGATCAGCGGAAGAACCCTGCAGTTGTCTGCTCAGACGGCTAGAGTCAGATCCCGCGACGATGATTACTTCCACCAACTTCGGAAGATGACGGCAAAATCGGCCAGGGATGACCGGAAGAAATATTGGGCTGAAATAACGACCTCCATGGAACAGGCCTCGAAAGTTGGTGACACTCGAAAGCTCTACCGTCTGATTCGCCGAACCATCGATAAGCCCTTTACACTGAGTGACCCTGTTCGCGATGTGAACGGCGGCCTTACTGCTGACAGCTCGGCCAAAGTCGAGAGCTGGCGTGAGCACTTTGAGCACCATCTCAACTTCGATACCCAACCTACATCGCCCTTACTCTCGTCCTCAGCGGAGTTTATTCCCTCTCCTACCTATGCGGTGCCATGCGATCCCCCCTCCGAGAGAGAAGTCGCAGATGTCATACGAAAGTTGCGCAACAATAAGGCACCCGTAGAGGACGGTATAAACGCTGAAATCTTCAAGTCTTGTGTCGACACTCTGGCGACCTGGCTACTTAAGGTGATTGAACAAGCGCGGAGAGACGAGGTTGTTCCTGATGACTTGGGCTTAGGCATCCTTGTACCTATTCTCAAGACAGGGTTGTATCCTGTCACCCATACTGTTAAACTACGCTATTGACTGGATCCTCGGGAGGGCCTTTTGAGAGAGTGATGGCGTTCAATTTGCACCCGGACATCGATTGACTGATCTCGAACATGCCGATGATATCGACTTACTTGCTTCAAGTTTTAGTGATCTGTAATCTATGGTGTCACGGGTGAACGAGGTCGCAAAATCGGTCGGTTTATCCATAAACGCTAGGAAGATTCAAGTGTTTTCAAGCTGCATCCCTGACCAGGGGAAGGCATCCCTCGGGATTGATGGCAGTCAACTTGAAGAAGTAGAGAGTTTTAAATACCTTGGGGCGAGGCTGCTGCGTAATGGACAGAATAAGGACGACATTGTCTCCCGAATCGATGCTGCCCGCTGGGTTTTCTCAAGCCTTCGAAAATGCCTATGAATCCGACGTGACCTCTCCATCGTCACTAAGATTCGCGTGTACCGTGCATCTGTCCGGTCTGTCCTTCTCTACAGTTGTGAATGCTGGGCTTTGCGCGTGGACGACGAGCGAAAACTGGAGGTATTTGACCACAACTGCTTGAGGACCATCCTTCGAGTGAAGCTCACTCACTTTGTCTCAAAAGAGACAGTCCGCACTCGCTGCGACAACATCTCAAGGATAACACAGGCCATCCAAGAAAGACGGCTGAGGTGGTTCGGGCATGTTCTTCGTCGTCCACCTCAGGAGCTCAATGTTACTGCTCTCGATCAGGCACGGTTGCCCCATTAGAGGCGTCGAAGAGGGAGTCAGTTCAAAACCTGTCTCGACACAGTTGGTCAAGACAGGGACGTGGTTCTTGGACCTTCGATATTCGGTCTCCGTCGTTGGCGAAGAGAATGGGTTGAGTTGTCCAGATCTGCTGCCGCGGCTCGTCACGCGGGGAGAGGTACAGTTCGGGATATCGAGGCCGGCTAGATCAGACATGATCGCAGCCGTATCAAGTACAAGTACAAGAAAGTACAGAAGTGGGTGAAGGGGGATGCGCAAATTAGAGGTTTGAAATGTCAACGAATCCGTACCTCCTAGGTGCAGAAGCGCAGCCCATGACAATATCAAAGTCTTCAGGACACCATCAACACTATCAAATAATTTAAGTGCGACCTCTAATGATGGGACAGCCATCGTGATGACATTCATTGTGTGTGTCCCATGTTATGAGGGCACGGGACAAGGCTTTGCGCGTGAATTAATTTACTGATGGTAAACTTTCGCGCCATTTTCCGCGCACTCTCCTCCCTCACCCACTAAGACCTGACGGCATGACTCCATCAGGACGACCGGAAGCTGGTTTGTTCGTAGAGGCTCCTTATCGCCTAACTCTGCTCCTCACACCTCTGATTCGCACGCGAGTGACCAGGCTTCCACTGAAACAAGGGCCGGCTCGACTCTTAGCTGAATGGAAGTGCTAACGAGGCCACGTGCAGAAGGAACCATTACATCATGACTCGCCGTCCAGAGAGGACCGAGAAATCCCGTCAGTTGGCAGACTTCCAAGCCCCAACTTTTAGCGCACCTTGGCAAATGCAAGCTTGTCAGACTGTTTATAGTGAGAAATGCACTGAAGTGTCGCGGGGATGGGTTCCCCAAAGTCGACCTCACGCACTCTTCCCCTCCCATGCACAAGTCCGCCGCCTGAGTCGGCCAACTGTCTAATGCTGGAATTGGACGCAGAGACTGGCACAGCGCGAGCCTGCGCCTAGGCGTGTTACCACACCCCGCCATATTCGACGGTAGTTGTGGTCTCGGGGACGACGCTGCGTGGCTTGATTAAGGCGTTTCGTGTTCCAGTCTGTCTGCCGTTTCGGCCCAGCGCATCCAGTACAGAGCCAGTTGTGAGGGTCGGCCGCCTACTATAAACGACTGATCTCATAAATGTCTAAAATCGAAAGGCATTTTCAGCAGTTATTGATTTCCTCAGAACATCGCTAATCAAAGTCTGAACAAAAATAGTGTGCCTCGAGGCAAAAAAATTATCTGCATTTTTCTCTTTAATTTTTACTCAAAATGAAGTAATCCATCATCGGAGAGTCCCGGTATTTTTTTATTTCCTGCAGTTTAACATAAATGCTCGTGGGAAAGGTTTGAACGAGGGAGTATTAATGAACTGGTTCTCGTGGGCATTTGCGTTATACAGTCACTACCAGTGGAAGGTATGGTGGAATGCTGTGTGAATGACCAAAACTCAAACGTTCTAGGGGCAGGTGATTGTTTTCGAGTGGGAACTCTGCACAATGATTGGGGTCGAGGATGAGAAAGACAGGAGGAGGCATAAAATAAATGAGGGAGAGAGACAGTCCTTGGAGGCTTAACCAGAAACGCTTTGAAAAAGTCTGGGAGGAAGACCACAATAAATGCTGTACTCGCAGTCCCTTGGGCAGCCAGGACCAAACGGCGCATGCAGTCGTTTCGAAGGCTGGGACGGAAGGCCGGTGTCTTCTGAAGGATGACAGCGCTGACGACATATTGAAGGTATCGGAGGACAGACGAGAAGATAATTCCAGAGGGTGGGAAGGTGAGTGTGACTGCAGGCACCAGAGTAGGGACGGAGGTTTGCGAGGGGACGACCGTTCCGGCAAAAACCAATGGGCCAGACGGGGTAGTGCATTTTGGCCCACAGGTGTATGACAGCTGGAATTGAAAACCTCGGATGACTATCTCTGTGCTGGTAGTTGTCCCAGCCTGAACGCTGGGTGTTGCTGTCCGTTGAACTGTTTGACTGGGTAGCATCCGAACCTTCGTGTACTGTAGTAGAACTATCCCAGGATAAATTGGTCGGAAAGGAATGTTTTTGGTGTTGTTTCTTCTTCTTGTCTGATGTCTCAGGAAACTGATCGCGCAAATGTTGGAGTAGAAGAGGATGATTTGGGAGGGAACCATGCAGAAGACAGTACAGTGGCTTTGCGTTTTTCTGAAAGAAACAACTAGAAATTTCGAAATCGGGAATTCGCGGGTCAGTTTTTCCTAATCTAGACATGAAGCATAGAAGGCTCCTTTTTAAGAAGACGCTCAAAATTCAGAAACCTTTGCTTCAACAACTCGCCTTCATCACTGCCAGAAACCAGAACTGTTGACTTAACAAATACACATCACGCCAGGGCACTTTTTACTTAAGGAGCATAGATTTGCCCTCATACCTGAAAGACGAGATTTTTCCTCCCTCAATGGAAGAAGTTACTTATCACGTAAAACTAGTTCAGGAGGTTAACAAACTTTTAAATCTTGTAGATGACGATTTAAAACCCTACGATCCGTTTCTCTACTGGTTAAGCTGTCTTGCTTAGTAATAAACTAATTGTCTTGTAATACAAGGTATGAAAAGAACCCACAAAAAGTGTGTTTGATCAACCGGAACAGATCCTGCCCTCCCTAATGAAGTTCCTCGCAGAAGAGAATTCTTCTAATTTGTGCACTTAAAAACTGGTAATAACTACGACAGGGAAACGACCGACTTTCAATTTTGTGCTCAGTTTAATGAGCAATGTTGCATCTTTCAATCATTTTATCCTCAACCTTTTAAAGTTACAATTATCTGGATCTCTCTCTGTTGAGTTTCGGCCACAACGCTACGCAGTCAGTTCCAAGGTCTTGTTTCAAACTCACAAACGCGATTCCGTGACAATCCCGCATTTCAAACTGACTTTATCTGACGATGAAATACCATGGCTTCACAAGTTGACTACTGTCAGATCCCCCATTACTAGTTTTTTGGGTGTGCCACAAAGCGTTCGCCAGTTTTCAGTAGATTTCTCAGAAGGCAGACAGAAAACGATACATTTTGGAATTATTATGGCAACAAAACCTGTTTGAACTTGTCGCGGAAGAACTTCTGCTAAAAGCCACCGACGAACAACATTGAAAAGTTTCTACAATAAAACTCAGTCGCGGTTTTTATTCTCGCTCGTAGTATAATTCCAACACAAGGATATACTCAAGTGCTTCAGTTCGGACGAGTTCTTTACACCTACTCTGTTGACTGTGTGCTTGACTATTTGAAAGTAGGTCATTCCTTCTCAGTTTTTGCTTAAGTAACAATAAAAACCATTTGTTGACAGGTTCTAACATATTTTGGTCGGTGGACGATAAGTTCCCTTACGTTTCCGTAAAAAAATCAAAGGCACTGGAAACTGTAAAGGTTTGACAGCGTGCCTACAGGTTGGTTTGCTTTCAGCAGGCCTCCTCTTCATCGAAATTTCTGACTGGTTTCCGTAAAATATCGTCGCTTGTTAACGCCTCTCTCCTCCAACTATTGACGACTTTGGCCACTGTGTTCTGTCAATGCAATACAGTCATTCACCACACCGTCTTCTGTATTTTGCGTTACCTCTATGGATGCCACTGTCGCGCGGGTAAACTTCTGAAACCCGAAACGTCCAGAAGCGTGATAAATTTCCACTTGTTGCATTAACGGTGTATCTCGTGTTTTTGTTCCTCTGTGGACATATTCATGAAAAGGTCAATTCAGACATACTGTTTCCTCCTATAGTAATTAATTGTAACACGTCTTCCTGCGAAGCAGCCATGCACGTATGGACTGACGTAGTGAAGTCTGCAGCTCGATGTTCCCCGTCCAAAAACACAAGTACAAATTAGACTGCAAGCAATGGTGCAGTTCTGCTTTCAGAAGTGTACATACGACTCCGTGGTCTTTTTTATATTGCGCCACGCTTGTCTTTTAAATGTAAACTTCACTCTTCGTTTGTGACAGTCCACTTCTACTGCTTTGAGCAAAACTAATGTGGCAATGACATCCTGTTTCGTTGTAAGAACTAAGCTTAAACATCTGTGAACACGATATCTTGGGAGCAAATCAGAGCTAAGCATTTTGAAACAGGGGCACGTGCCGCCATTAAGAGATTACTATTCGTTTGTCAGTGAGGCCTTATTACTTGGGTCAGTTTATGAATTTCGTCCCATAAAAAGTCGGGCAGCGTTACGGATTCACTCACGAACCAGATTTGCATTTCCATGTGCACATTGAAAATCTTTAAACAGTTTTGCAATATAAATGTTCGACTAT